CAATAAAGCCACTAGGATGCAAGGGGTTACTGAGTGTTAGAGAATATGAGAAAAACTACTATTAAGGAGAGAGGAGAATAAAAGAAGAACAATTAAGAAGAGAGATGAAGACGATTGACATTGCATTTAAATTTTTGAAGATTAAAGTTGAGAGGGATGCAAGAAGCCGGAAGACAGTTCCACAAGCGATAAGTGCGAATGAAGAAACTGTTAGCATAGAACTTACAATTATATCTAGCTATTTCAACTGTAAAATGATGAGACCTTACCGCCAATCAAGTACTGCGGTTAAATTAATAAAATCTAGGTACTATAGAGGGAAGTTCATCAGAACAATAACCATAAAAGTATTTGTAGAAAAAGCACAGAGAAGATCCATTACTGCTGTGTGAAAGTGACTGAAACCTAGATGCCAGATAAGGACCAATAATATTGCTTATTCTTCAGTTTGTTTTTATCAATAAATATAATACTAAAAGTCTGTAATTGCGTGCGTCCTTGTGTGGTGCGTCCATCCGTCCGGCGCATAATGATTTACAAGTAAATATTTTTATTTTAACTTTATTCAAACAGACAATTTATTTTAAATTGAAATAGTTTTAAGTTAAAGACAGCCACAAAGAGATCCCGCTTTGCTGTTTCGTCCAGTTGCTTCTTTAAACAAACAATATTTAAAAAATATTTTTTGGCAAATTGAAAAAAAAATTTTTTTAATTTAATCTTATTTAAAAAATATTTTAAGTGAATAAGATTTAAAAATACGAATTGTTTATACGGTAGTTTTTAAAAAAATTTCAACTTTATTCAAACAGTCTATAGTTTTAATGTTATAATCATGTTCAATGTTTTATAGCCTGAACCGTCAGTTACCCAACTGGTCACGGGTAGTTTAGTATTATATCAATTTATCAATATATAGCAGGCGCCCCAGACCCTATTTAGCAGCAATATTCTAAGCATAGACGAATGGTAGTCTTATACATATGTAAGATAGATTCTGGAGAGAAAAATTGTCTAGCACAACACAGTGAACCAACTTTCCTAGCAGATGACCTATTAATTGATTCAATATAATGTTTCAACTTAAACAGAGAACATTAGGCCGAGAAGTCACGACGAATCGCTCTCCTGGGGGTTAGCATATACAGAAAGAAGTCTCTTAGATAACACTAGTCAAAAAAAAAAAATTTGAAATAATGTCGAGGCACCAAACATCTTTTTTCACTAATTTGAGGGCGCTAAATCTGAAAATGACCTTACATTTTCTTAGGTAGCTACCATTTTTGCTGTACAGCAATGCCTACCAAAAAGCATTTTTTGTCTATATTTCTGACATTATTTAATTCGCCTCTCATTTTTTATTCCAAAGGGATAAAAAATGAGGTATTATGTACATTTTTATTTGTCTATATTTTATTCTTTCGAGATGAGGTATTTCTGATGTATGTACATTATTTACATTATTCGGACTATTGTCCTCATCTTTGTCACCATATTTATTACAACGTTTCGGCCTTTCAGTATTTGTCTTTATTACTGAGATGAGGTATTATGTACATTATTTACATTATTCGGACTATTGTCCTCATCTTTGTCGCCATATTTATTCCAAAGTTTCGGCCTTTCAGTATCTGTCTATATTTCTGAGATGAGGTATTATGTACATTATTTACATTATTCGGACTATTGTCCTCATCTTTGTCGCCATATTTATTACAACGTTTCGGCCTTTCAGTATCTGTCTATATTTCTGAGATGAGGTATTATTACATATTTACATTATTTACTATTATTCGGACTATTATCTGTCCTCATCTTTATTGTCCTCATCTTTGTCGCAATATTTATTCCAAAGTTTCGGCTTTTCAGTATCTGTCTATATTTCTGAGATGAGGTATTATGTACATTATTTACATTATTCGGACTATTGTCCTCATCTTTGTCGCCATATTTATTGCAAAGTTTCCATATTTCTATATTCCTGAATGAGTTATGTACATTATTTACATTATTCGGACTTTGTCCTCATCTTTGTCGTATTTATTCTTTCGTCTATATTTCTGAGATGAGGTATTATGTACATTATTTACATTATTCGGACTATTGTCCTCATCTTTGTCGCCATATTTATTACAACGTTTCGGCCTTTCAGTATCTGTTTGAGGTATTATGTACACTATTTACATTATTCGGACTATTGTCCCTCATCTTTGTCGCCATATTTATTACAACGTTTCGGCCTTTCAGTATTTGTCTTTATTTCTGAGATGAGGTATTATGTACATTATTTACACTATTCGCCATATTTATTCCAAAGTTTCGTCCTTTCAGTATCTGTTTATATTCCTGAGATGAGGTATTATGTACATTATTATTATTCGGACTATTGTCCTCATCTTTGTCGCCATATTTATTCCAAAGTTTCGGCCTTTCAGTATCTGTCTATATTTCTGAGATGAGGTATTATGTACATTATTTACATTATTCGGACTATTGTCCTCATCTTTGTCGCCATATTTATTCCAAAGTTACGTTTTCAGTATCCTTTCATTTACATTATTCGTATTGTCTGTCTATATTTTTCTTTCAGATTTGTCTTTATTACTGAGATGAGGTATTATGTACATTATTTACATTATTCGGACTATTGTCCTCATCTTTGTCGCCATATTTATTCCAAAGTTTCGGCCTTTCAGTATCCTTTTCAGTATCTTATTTACATTATTCGGACTATATTTTGTCCCATATTTATTACAACGTTTCGGCCTTTCAGATGAGAGTATTATGTACATTATTTACATTATTCGGACTATTGTCCTCATCTTTGTCGCCATATTTATTCCAAAGTTTCGTCCTTTCAGTATCTGTTTATATTCCTGAGATGAGGTATTATGTACATTATTTACATTATTCGGACTATTGTCCTCATCTTTGTCGCAATATTTATTCCAAAGTTTCGGCTTTTCAGTATCTGTCTATATTTCTGAGATGAGGTATTATGTACATTATTTACATTATTCGGACTATTGTCCTCATCTTTGTCGCCATATTTATTGCAAAGTTTCGGCCTTTCAGTATCTGTCTATATTTCTGAGATGAGGTATTATGTACATTATTTACATTATTCGGACTATTGTCCTCATCTTTGTCGCCATATTTATTCCAAAGTTTCGGCCTTTCAGTATCTGTCTATATTTCTGAGATGAGGTATTATGTACATTATTTACATTATTCGGACTATTGTCCTCATCTTTGTCGCCATATTTATTACAACGTTTCGGCCTTTCAGTATCTGTCTATATTTCTGAGATGAGGTATTATGTACACTATTTACATTATTCGGACTATTGTCCTCATCTTTGTCATCTTTATTACAACGTCGCCATATTTATTATGTACATTATTTTACAACGTTTTATTCGGCCTTTCAGTATCTGTCTATATTTCTGAGATGAGGTATTATGTACATTATTTACATTATTCGGACTATTGTCCTCATCTTTGTCAACGTTTCGGCCTTTCAGTATCCATCTATATTTCACAGATGAGGTATTATGCCATATATTTATTCAAAAGTTTCGGCCTTTCAGTATCTGTCTAATTTCTGAGATGAGGTATTATGTACATTATTTACATTATTCGGACTATTATCCTCATCTTTGTCGCCATATGTATTCCAAAGTTTCGGCCTTTCAGTATCTGTCTATATTTCTGAGATGAGGTATTATGTACATTATTTACATTATTCGGACTATTGTCCTCATCTTTGTCGCCATATTTATTACAACGTTTCGGCCTTTCAGTATCTGTCTATATTTCTGAGATGAGGTGTTATGTACATTATTTACATTATTCGGACTATTGTCCTCATCTTTGTCGCCATATTTATTCCAACGTTTCGGTCTTTGTACGCTCCGGCCTTCTTTAGGTAGTTGGAATGTCGAACTGAACCCTTTATTTCGCTCACCGAGGTACACTGTGCTGTGTGTCCTAAAGGATGGCACAGTGGATAAAGGCATTGGTTAGATTCAGTAGCAGGACCCAAAGACTGTGAGTTCAATATCCGGTGAAAGCAGTGGAGAACTTTCAGAGGGAAATTAACAAGAGATAACTGATAACTGACCTCCATTAAATATGGCACGTGGATCTAGAACAGTCTACCCCAGTGAGCGAAATAAAGGGTTAATTTATAGGTTGGAAATGGTGGTGTAATTTGTTTTTTTTCTGTCATTATGAAGAGTCACTACGTTGATGAAAGTATAAATATTTATTATATGTCAAATTTTTGGAGTCGTTTAAGTTTGGGTTGAGGGTTTTTTTTCTTCTGTTTACAATGTTTCCCAGGCTGTCATTTTTATTACTATTTGTTAGAACTTACTGATTTGACTTACTGAGTGATTGATTACACCACCATTTCCAATTTATAAATGAGTAAAACAGTTCTTCAGTTGGTTATTCTAAACATCGCTTGAGAATGAAACGGTACTCTAAATTTTAAGTTTAATATTGAAATTAAACTTTAGGACTTGAGTCAGTTTGAAAGCATAGTAATTTCTGTGTTGCGATGAAATCATATATTTTTTAAATAATTTTATATATATATATATATATATTATATTTAAATAATTTTATATATATATATATATATGTGTGTGTGTGTGTGTGTGTGTGTGTGTTATGTGTGTGTGTGTGTGTGTATTTTATATTACTGTATACTTATCTATTTGCCGCAGTTTGCTAATGAAGGATTGAATATAGAATAATAATCTATAACTTTGCCAAACGACCCTCTTTCCCCAAGGGAGGTAACTGTTTTTTTTTCTAACAGACTAATTAGTTGTTTGGTTAAACTGCGACAGCGACGTCCGTCTTGAGTATATCTCTTTTCTTACTTCTTTTTCTCCTTTCAAAGTTCATCCGCACATTCTACCGACGAAAAATGAAAAGTGACTCAAGGAAATTTATTCTGAACAGATAATCGGTTATCCAAGCCCGCGCGCATGCGTCGAAGAGAAGGAGATTTGGAAGAGACGCTGACATTAAGCATAAATGTCTCTGATTACGCAGGTGACATTTAAGAAATCTACAAATATTTGTTGAGTTTTTTTTTTGTTGTTGTTTTTTGGTTTTATTTATTCTCGACAATATTTTCTCGTTTCAATTAAATACAAGAAGACATCAGTGTCCACTAGAGAGTAAACGCCGTATAAAATTGTAAAAAAGTTACCATATAGCAATACTTATATTATTAAACGGCTTTTTTAAAGTTTATATTGTTATTGATGTCTAGCGACGCAGAAAATCGAATCAGGCAGGCAGAGTTCAAATTCAACTGAATGTTTTGCTCATTTAATACTGAAGTTTCCGTTTTGCTTTTCCTGGAATCAAAGCTTGTAATATGTACCCTTATTTTAGCAAAAAAAGAATCCAACATTACTCCTTAAAAATGTTTCTAGTAACTTGGTTTGGGGACTTTAGGTTTCAGAATCAAACAAATAAGAAATGACGACCGCTATAAAAGTGTCATTTTTTAGATGCACAGTATCCAACGACGGAAAACAATCGCCAAAAATCTAGTTACCATAAATAAATAATATCGTTCGCTGAATTATTTTTCAACTCGTATACCCGTGCCGTGAAAATCAATGGCAAGAAGGCGGGTGTTACAAGTAATATGTTTTATATTATAAATAGTTTTCGTTTATTCCAAGTACAATTTTGTATTTAAAATCATACTTATTATAAAACCCAGGTTGTGTGTGTGTGTGTGTGTGTGTGTGTGTGTGTGTGTGTGTGTGTGTGTTTATATATTGGATCGGATTTCTTACATTTTTCAACCGATTTCAACAAAACTTCACAGCACTACGTAAAATTACCTTGCGGTGGTTCTGACAGTGCCAAAAATTGGAAAAACACAATTATTTTTGCACGTAATCAATTTGAAAACACGATTAAGAGGCATCGCGAGAATGAAAGGGGGACAACTCATGTGTGTGTGTTCGTTTATATATGGGATCGGATTTCCTACATTTTTCAACCGATTTCAACAATACTTCACTTTTTTTTTTGACAGGTAGTATTTCTTATTGTCTTGCACACTTTTTTCTTTATTTTTACATTCAGAATGCTTTAAAAATTCCATTTACAAGACAATTGTTTATAATAAAATTCTATTCAATCGGTAGACTCATAATGATTGAAGACAATGTTTTTGTTTGAGTTTGAGTTTGACCAATTCGTAAAAAAAAAAAAAAAATAACTAATTAAGACATGCGTGTCCGTCAACCTTAAACAATAATCTTTGTCAACTTTATTTTTCAGTCTTTATGATGGTCGATACTTGATCTATCTCTTACAGTTACATCCCCGGGCAACGCCGGGCTCTACTGCTAGTAGTTAATAATTGAACAGTGGAAAACTTATAAACACCTCAGGAAATATATGTGTGATTTTCCTCATAAATGTTACATATTTACAAACAAAATTATGTTTACTGCAAAAATTCCCAAAACACAGTATTTTTTGTGCTTAAACTTTGGAAGGTCTGAGTAATCCTTGACAGTCCGTAGAGTCAATTTGTAATTTCAGAGTCTGCTTATTTCTCGTCCTACTAAGAGCAACGTATCATCAGATTTTTTTTTTACATTTTTTGAACCCCACCACCTAGTTTGTTTTTTAAATTATAATTATTAAAATGTAAATGTATTTCTAAAAATGAACAAAGCGTTCTTGAAGATATATGTGGCGTATTATATATACGAACACTCTTCGATAACGACATCAGTATTCTTCAACGGAACTAAGTTTGCACGACCCTACGTGGGTCATCGTTATTTTGCACTCTACCTCTCAATTGTTACAGAGACAATATATATATATATATATATATATATATATATATATATATATATATATATATATATATATTGTATTTATTATGAAAAAGTGTATATAAATATAAATAAATATATATATGTATAATTATTTATATATTATATGCGCGGTACTTATTAGAAAGCGCTACCCTCTCACCCAGCACGTTAAATATTAAACATCACCATATAAATTAACCAATAAAGATTACAAATTTCTACCTGTTACATATACACAGTCACCAAAAACAAACAAATAACCAGCTTTAAATATAACAAATATACCCCCATTTTTTTTCAAAAATTTAAAAATAAATATAAATAATAATAATTTTTACCTATCATAATTTTACACAAACCCCACCACACGTATATACATATATGCGAGGAAATATTATTCAGCGGAAAAATACATAATATGACATGTATACATTCACGAGACATTCGCGAGATATTTCCGCCACACTTCCAATCTTTACATTTCAACATAAAAATGCGTATGTATAGACACAACACCACCCGTATACATACATATGTCATATCCGAAACTGTCCACATATGTTTCTATATGTATGAGTCCCGACGGACGACCAAGTATGTATATGTGCCTGCATACATCGATGTTTGCGTTAGTACGATGACATAAGCAATTTCCCCCACCACTTCCACAATAACACCAATACACGCAATTTACATAAACCCAAATTTTTAAAAAAATTAATCAGTTTGTCTGACGATCGCTAAAGCTTGAAACCCAGGTTCACAAACTCACATCTATCCAACCAACACACACACACACACATATATATATATATATATATATATATATATATATATATATATATAAAAGAAGAGAAGAGAGGTGCCGCAAAAGGGGTCAGTAAAACATTAAAAGATAAAATGCCGATAAGTAATTCATCATTTCTCTTGGGCCAACCTTAATTGTTTTATGACCCTTCGCGCAGACCTCTTCACTGCCAGTTCAAGAAAGACATTCGGATTACTAACGCAAAAACAGAGAATGTCTCATATCGAGAATATTTAACATTGAAAAACATATGGAAAAAATTAATTATTTTTAATAATATGTGGAAATCTCCGCTTTTACCTGAAGACGGTCACGAGACCAGAAACACGTGTCGTAAAATTATGTAAAACAAAGCATAATATTTTTTCTAAATAAATCCACATTACAACCAAAAACGTCTGCGGCACCTCTCTTCTCTTCTTTTTAATATACATACTTTTCTCTCGTTGGAACCACTACAACCTCTTTCTTTTACATATATATATATATATATATATATATGTGTGTGTGTGTGTGTGTGTGTGTGTGTATGTGTGTGTGTGTGTGTGGCGTATTATATATATAAATTATTAATAACAGAAATGTTCATAAGACACTATAAATAAATAAATAAATAAACAGAGACAGAAAATGCAAGTGTTTAAAGTTTCCATACAACACCACATAAATAATAGACTGTTCCGCTTTGATTACTTGGAAATAGGGGAAAAGAAACTACTTGATTTCAATGAGAAAATGAATGAAAGAAAGAAAGAAAGAAGAAGAAAGAAAGAAAGAAAAAAAGAAAGAAAGAAAAAAGAAAGAAAGAAGGGAAGGTAGATGCGTTTAATGTCTGTTTCAGTGAAAAGGAAAAAGTTGTCAATTTTAGATCTTTTCATTTGTACCCCCTTACTTCTTAAAATAACTATCAGTGAAAAACAAACACATATTAGAGACGCTATTTGGTTTCAATGAGAAAAAGAAAGAAAGAAAGAAAGAAAGAAAGAAAGAAGGAAGGTAGAAGTGTTTAACGTCTGTTTCAGTGAAATTGAAAAAGTTGCCAATTTCAAATCTCTTCATTTGTACCCCCTTACTTCTTAAAATAACGACCAGCATTCATATTCATGATTGTTATTGCAATATTTTGTTCACGTTAGGCTCAAATATTTAACGATGTGATCGGGGAATTTTCTACGGATATTTTAGTGTCGTAGAATTCATCAACTTAATCACCCATTAACTGAAGAATTCTTCAGTTAATGGCTGAATTGAGATTCATCAGAAATTTCAAATCTTTCTCTCTCTTTCTATCTCTCTTTCTACCTCTCTCTTTCTATCTTACTTTCACATTCTCTCTCTTTTTCTTTCTCTCTCTCTCTCTCTCTTTATATCTCTGTCTCTATCTCTCTTAATATCCATCTATTTCTTTCTTTCTTTCTTTCTTTTTATCTATCTATCTATCTATCTATCTATCTATCTATCTATCTCAGACTGTTCATTATTTGTCTGTCTGTCGATCTATCTATCTACCTCATTTTGTTCATCTATCTATCTATCTATCTATCTATCTATCTCAGTATGTCCATTATCTATCTCAGTATGTCCATTATCTATCTCATTTTGTTCATCTATCTCAGTCTATTCGTATCTATCTATCTATCTATCTCATTATCTCTGTCTTTTTTCTCTCTCTTTCTCTCTATCTTTCTATCTCTTTCTTTATATCTCACTTTCTTTCTTTCTCTTTCTTTATCTCTTAATATCTCTCTCTATCTTTCTCTCTCTTTCTCTCTCTCATTATCTATCTATCTATCTATCTATCTATCTATCTATCTATCTATCTATCATCACAGTCTGTTCGTATCTATCTAGGGAGAATTTATTGTCGTAGAACTCGCCATCAGCTTACTCAGTCATTAATTGAAGAATTAAGATTCACCAGAAAATTCAAATAGAAAAACCATGAAATTCTTACGTGTCTTTCTAGTTTATTATAATTACTGTAACGTGGTAAAAGAGAAAACAGCAGAAAAGGACAAAAAATGATGTTCCTCTCCCGTCAGGCCTCTATGGTGGACGGAAAAATGTGCAGGCCGAATAAAATAAAAATCGCTAAGGACGCGATGCTATATATCTTCAATATATAATCATCAAAGGCTGATAACATTAACGCTCAAAAGCCACCCATTTTGTTTACAGAGGGAGGGCTAGAAAGACTTAATATATATACGTTATACGATCTTTAGGTCGAATAAAATCAAAAGCAACATATTGCCGTGTTTATAAAGAAACACATAAATAAAAAAAATAATTTTACTGTCACGGCGTCGTGTCCATAAAAAATAATTGGTTTAAAAAATAATTATAATAAAATGATTATAAAAATTATAATTAATTCACTCATTCTAAACCAATGGGAGTGGACCCCACTTTTCTCGACTACACACACAAACACGTGTCATTCTTACTATCGGACAAACAGTTCACAAGGACAGATCGTTAACACGTGCGTCAACGAAAATTCCATCTTTTTTTTCTCAGGCCATATTAGTAACATTTATCTTTTAGCATTCAACAAAAATTCGAGGTAAGAAAACCCTAGACACTTCTTGTATTATTTCATCTAGATTATCTGGACACTCAATACGCATATCTATAAAAAAAAAGAAAATTAAAAAAAACAGGAGAAAGACTGCAAACACTTTACTTATTCTTTATGTTATTCTTCTGTCAGATTCCGATCCATATTTGATCTACATTTGACCCCAAACTCTCGATTTTGTTTTTTTTATTTTTAAATCTGTCGTGTCCATAGATAAATACATAAATAAAAAAATAATTATACTGTCACGGCGTCGTGTCCACAAATCAATGTATAAAAATTAATTATGGCGTAAAAAAATAAAATAAAATAATTATAATTATCATTAATTCGCTCATTCTAAACCAATGGGAGTCGACACCACTTTTCGCCTCTGCACATAAAAACACGTGACATTCTCATTATTGGACAAGCAGTTCACATGGAAAGGTCGTTAACATGTGCGTCAACGAAAATTTCATCTCCTATAATAGTAACATACTTATTATTTATCTTATCCTTCTGTCAGATTCTGATCCATATTTAATCTACTTTTGACAGCAAACTCATAATTTTACTCAATCTTAGTGTCCCGTGTTTCCAACATCACATAACAACCAGGTAATAAATACGATTTGTTCTTTCTACATCTAGCTGTTTCTCATTTTTACGAGTATTTTTTCGTATATATGAATTTTAAGGGCTTTATAATTATTTAAAAAGAGTTATAGCCCCCCCTACATTATTGTATTGTCGTAGAACTCGCCATGAGCTTATTCAATAATTAATTGAAGAATTAAGATTCATCAGAAAATTGAAATAGGAAAACCATGACATTTTCAGGGGTATTTCTGATAAAATATTAACATGGTGTCCTCGTTTACCCCACAAAAAAAACAATTTCTTTTTGACGTCATAACAAGAGAACCCCCCAAAAAAAAAAAATATTGCCGGTTGCTGTTCTTGAGGCAACATTGCTAAACGTTCTCTTTCTCTATAGTATTTCTGCGTCCAATCGATCGGTCACTTAATTTTTCTGTTCATTAGTTCTCTTGGCCAGCCAGAGAGAGAGAGAGAGAGAGAGAGAGAGAGAGAGAGAGAGAGAGAGAGCGTCAGGTGCTCTCTCTCGGCTTGATGAAAAGCTTGTTGACGCCTGTGGAAGGAGAAATGCCTGAAGGCCGGCAAAAGGAGCGTCGGGGCGAAGACGTGAAGTTCAACAAGCTTCGAGGTCAATAAGACTCAGAGGTTTTGCCCTATGGCCAGTTTGTGAATTTGAAAAAAAAAAGAAGATGAATATATGGACATTGCAAATGAAATACAAAAAAAATTACTGTAACGGGTTTTATTTTGAAGATGAGAATAATCCTTGGATAAACGGAAAATGAAAACAAGAGAGAGAGAGAGAGAGAGAGAGAGAGAGAGGGGGGAGAGGGAGAGGAAGAGAGAGAGTTTAACAAAATCGGATAGATAGATAGATAGATAGATAGATAGATAGATGTGAACAAACTGAGACAGATAGATATAAACAGGCTAAGATAGATAGATAGATAGATAGATAGATAGATAGGAACAGACTGAGATAGATAAATATGAACAGACTGAGATAATGAACAAACGGAGACAGATAGATATAAAAAAGCTAACATAGATAGATAATAGATAGATAGATAGACATGAAAAGTTTCACATAGATAGATAGATGTGTACAGGATTAGATAGACAGATAGATACATAGGAACAGACCGAGATAGATAGATATGAACAGAATGTGATGTATTACTTAGCTACAATAAAAAAAATAGATCCACCATTTTAAATGCAACAGAATATTATATCACTACCCGTTTGCGATCAAATAAGATCTATATGACTGAAGAATTGCACAAAAGTTCGAAATAATTAAGACATGAATCCAAAATACGTTTAATTTTAATAAAACTCCTTGCAATTCCCATAAATATTACGATTAATAGCAGAAACATCTTCGAGTTCTACGAAGTATTCAGATATCAACCTTAATAGGGCTTATTTGTTTGTTTGTTTAGTTCCTTATGGGTCATTTGGTTTGGTTTACTTTGATTTACGGCATATCAATCTCAATGAATTATTTAATACCGACAAGATTTTTATTGCTGGTAATATTTATTTTTTTAAATGTATTGTTGGTAATTTTTTCCTTCAAAAATCTATTTCTGGTAATAATTTTTCTTCAAAAATGTATTGATTGTAATTTTGTTTTTCAAAAAAGTATAGCTGGTAATAATTTTTTTCATCAAAAACCCATTGCTGGTAACAACATTTTTTACAAAGTATTTCTGGTATGAAAACTCATATTTACACTTTCATAGTGTCTTGATCCCAGCTCGAGTATTAAATATTTGCCCATAGATTGGACCCCAACAGGTGCCACCACCCCAGGTCAGGGTGGACCTGGGAATACCAGCAATTAAGAGGTGGTTCCACGCTCCTCAAGACCTCCTGGTTAGAGGCCTTGCTGTTGGACGTAGTTTATCGTCTTAGCCAGGACGCGGATGTAGTTTAACGTCTTACCCAGGACGCGGATGTAGTTTAACGTCATGCCCAGGACAGTATGGGTCATTTAATTTTGAAATTTAATTTTTTGGCGAACTATTTTAATTTCATTTACCAAAATCTATTGCTGGTCATTTTTTTCTCCAAAAGTTTTATTTTTACTACGAACATGTATTTTTATACTTTTATAGTATTTTGACTCCAGTTTGGGGTGGGGTTTAACTATGAGCTCATAGTTGGGACCCTAACAGGTGCTGCCACATCGGGTCAGAGTTGTTTCGTTTATTCGTCTATTTTTTTTTAACGGTATATCAACCTCAATGGGTTATTTAATGCCGGCAAGATATGTGCAAATTGAAACAAAACGATTAATTCCGTTATTATTTACATTTTCTTCGTATTTTTTCCAGTGAAACATGAACCAGCGCACATGTTAGTACTTTGTATGACCATTTCACGAAGTTGTTCCTTGCAGATTAACCGTAGATTTTCGACTGGATTAAAATCAGGAGAGTTTCTGAGCCGTTCCATAGTACTTTGATTTGCTCACTGGTAAGGCTTGCCAGTGTGTTCGTACAGTGTTACAAATTTTCGTACGTTTCTTCGGAGTAACGTCCATCGCAGAAAACGGCCGTAGGACAACTAATCGACAGTTTAGACAATAGTGTCCGGGCGTGATAAAAATCTGATGCAATCACGGATGACGCAATATTTTTCAGGACCAGACAAATTTCATCACACACCCCAAAAATAGATTCATATTACTGCAGGCCACTTCAGATGACCTAATCGGAGGTAAAAATAGAAATCGATTACACCCTCTCAAATCCAGTGGGTATAAAACTGACCGAATTGTGAAAGAAAGGAAACTAAAGCTGTTGTTTCAATTAATTTGCACAAATGTGTAAGATATCAGTTTGTAAGAAATATCAGTTTGTAAGATTTGTAAGAAATCAGTTTGTTGTTTAGGTTTCATTGACGTATTTTTATAAGGAGGTTTTTTGTCGATAATCAAATGTATTGCTGGTAATTTTATTTAAAAAATATATTGTTATTTTTAGCATAAAAATCTATGTTTATACTTTTATAGTGTTTTGATTCCAGTTTGTGGGACCCTAACAGGTGCTACCACCCAAGGTTAAAGTAAACCTTGAAACAACAGCAATTAAGGGGTGATTCCACGTTGCTCAAAACCTCCTGATCAGAGGTCTAGATGTAGTTTATCGTCATACCCAGGACAGACCAAGTTAAATAGCCGTATTAATATGAAGTAACTCTAAGATGGGGTCAATTTAACCATAGAAAATTGAGCACCCAGTTGAATTTGATATTAATATGGGTTTATGACCAAATTCTTGTAATTCACACAAATATTATGAATAAAACCAGAAACTCCGAGTAGTTAGCTGCCACAGGTATTCAGGAAGTTACTTGAATAATAATGAAAATTTAACTTGCCTCTTGCTAAATACAGTAGAATGCCTCATATCCGGACATGATTTTGATGTGTATATTTGAACTCTTTGGATGATATGTAACTGATTTGAAATTTCTGTTTTTCAGGAAATTTACTTTGGATAATTGCTTCTGATTATTTCACCCTAATGGCTTGTATTGGTGCAAAGGATGATGGGAATAAGAGGAAAAGAACAACTTTGGAGTTATCGCAAAAAGTGGAAATTTTAAACAGACTAGACGCAGGTGAAAGTTCATTGTAACTAATGGCTGAGTTCAGCATAGGAAAGTCAACATTGTATGA